AAGAATTTTCTTTACTTGACGGGGTCGGTGGGAGGGAGGTGTTAGCTTTTTGTTCTATTCAGACTTTCAACTGATTGGATGAGTCCCACTCACATTAGGGAGGGCAGTCTGCTTTACTTAGTCTACTGGTTTAAATATTACTCTCATCCAAAAACACCCAGAATAATGCTTGACCCAATATCTGGGCACTCTGTGGCTCAGACAAGTTGACATGCAAAATTAATCATCACAGTATATATACATATAATATATGAGAGAGAGAGAGTGGGAGAAACTAGGCTAAAAAGTGGACTTTGGTAGCAAGAATTGATTAGTACCTATCTAGCCCTGCCTGAGGAAGAGAGGGATGTGCAGTTTCTTGCCCACACTGGACTGTACTCTTACATAGGATGATGGGATTGTGTTTATAAACAACACCCACAGTCAGGATGAGCTTTCTTTCAGATTACTCAATGGCTTGAGCTCCACAGGGCACCATCCTGCCTCCTGTGTGAGTTTGGTTAGGGTCGATCAGGCCCCTCTTTGTAGTCATCTCTGTGGTTCTCTGGTCACCACACCCACTACTTCCCTGGGAATTCTCCATTGCCTGGCCCTGCTGTCCCACATTCATGGCCAAAGCATTCAGGTTTACACCGGGAGACCTTGCATTCCAGGCCACAGCTAAGTGGGCACTTGGCCCAAGTCGGGTTGTGACTGAGAGATACTGGTTATTTATCTTAGCAAGTCCTTGGAAATGAGGGCATCTTTTTGTGAGCAGTAAACACTGATTCAGAGAGAAAGGGAGAGAGAAAGATGTGCAGAGCTGAAGAAGAGAATGGCTAATGGGTTTGGTGAGAATCCTGGATCCCATAGAATACCCTTCTCTCCTAATAAATTCCCCTTTTCTTTCACACAATTTGAAGCGAACTCCCATTATCACTGTCCACCTTAATTAAGTCATCCACCTAGGCAGTCCTTACTCCTATCGGTACTCTTCAGCCCAACATGGCTGCCGTCAGCAATCACACCCGTCATGGTGCCAGAGAAAACAACCGAGGGTCTTTCTGAGCAGACCTTTGTTACCCTTATTTCCAATAAAAAACTGTTAGCTCTTGAAAGTGTCTGGAAAAAAGTTAACCCTGATGATATGTGAAGCTACCCTCTTACCTATTTAGAAAATTGTACTCATCTTCATTTGTCCACCTTCCTACCTCAGCTTCATCTTGGTATCCACCATGATATACAAGTAAGGACTACAAGGCATGAATAAAAGGCCATGAAAAGCAAAGAGCCTCCATGGCTTTTTATTGTGGTATTTTAACCTTGTCTATTCCCTGTTCTCCAGCCCTTGTAGATGCAGTGTGGTTTTTCTAGACTTTTCTACAATTCCCTGTTTTTGTCCCTTCCCACAGACTCATCTCAGAGGGATGGACAAACTCCAGTAATTCTCTCTGGGGTTATAAGAACATCCTTGCTCACTTTCTCTGATATAGTTACAGGTGTTTTCTCTTTCCCATTTCTCTGTCTCCTTCTTCCACTTCCTACTGTGTATCTCTCTTCATAAGTTCAGCTTTTTCTCTCCTGCATACACTCAGAGCAATGGGCCAGTCTTCCTGCAGGTTCATGTTTGTTTAAGGTCTGTCATTTCCCCAGTTCCTAGCAGACCCTCAAGGACTATTTGCTTGGTTAATACCACGCCCTCTGCCTGGGAGCTTCTTCCCTATTGGTGCTAATCTTTTGCAACCTTTGAGTGAGGCCCTTCTAAAAGGCAACTTCCATCCCTGCCTGGAGGAAATTTCACAGGACTTTGACCACCTATTTGCATACTTGCCTTCTACTTTGCCTCAGAGTCTGTGCACACATCTTACCTCTCCGGGTAGTTTGCAACCTTCTTCAGGACAAGAAAGATTTCAAAGGCTCTGCAGTGACTCTAGATTTGAATCGTGGGTCAGTCACCTTCCTGTGTATTAGTTGTGTGAACTTGGGCAAGCTGGTTCACCTCTTATACCTGTTTTCTCTCCAGTAAGTGGGGGTAATATCACTAATCTCATAGGATATTTGCAAGGATGAATTTAGACATTTTTGTAAAGTGCTTAGAAGAATATTAGACCCATAGAAAATACTGAGTAAATGTTAGCTATTACTATTAATATTCTCATTTCTTACATTAGTTATCTATTGCTGTTTAGCAATTATCTCAGAATTTAGAAGCTGAACACAATTATAGACACTTTTCATCTTTCATAGTTTCTGTGGATCAAGAATTGAGAAGCGACTTAGATCTGTGGCTCTGGCTTGGGACCCCTCATAAGGCTGAGGTCTGGATGGCAGCTCGGGCTGCTGTCATTCGAAGGATTTCCTGGGGTTGGTGACCCACATCGAAGGCCTCAGTTCTACTTTTGGGCCTTTTCACAGGGCTGCTCTAGTATTCTAATGACAGGGAAGCTGGCTTCCACTACAGTGAGGCAGAAGCCACAGCACTTTCCATGGCCTGGCTTCAGAAGTCCGCTATACTTTATTGGTCACCCCAGCCAACTCTGTAGGAGACTACAGGAGGGCATGAATCCCAGGAGGCAAGGATCACTGCGGGTGATGGTGGAAGCTGGCTGTCACATTTGTATTCTGTTTTCCTCCAATGGAACTAGTGTCAGTAGGAGGCTCTAGCAATCACAGAGACTGGGATGCACGTTGGCAAGAGGAGAATTCCAAGGAAGAAGGAAGAAATGAACCAAAGGAAGTAATGCTTTGGCCTCATGTCTTGCCTCTTCTGCCCTTGCACTCTCAATTTAGGGCAGACTGAATTTCCTATGACTCTTCAGAAACCATCTAGTTCTTTCTCGTTTCAAAGCCTGTGCACCTATGGCTTTTCTGTTTTCAAGCTTCTCCTCTCCACTTCCCTTGGCTACCTTCCTCTCACAATTCAGGTCTCAGCTTAAACACTAGTTCCTCCTGGGATACTTTCCCTGATTCCCTTAGTCTGTCACTGTTTTGTGTACTTTGCCTCGTATCATAGACTTTCTCCAACATTTCGAAGTCAAGGCATCTCCAAGTGAGGGGAACAGCTGATGAAAAAGGGGCAAGGCAAGATGGAAGAAATTAGCATGGTATGTTCTCTAACCAAGAAAACTTTCTGTGATAATGGGATTTTCTTTTATTTTTTTTTAAAGATTTATTTATTTATTTGAGAGAGAGAGGGAGAGAAAAAGAGAGAGAGAGCACACCCAAGCATGCACAGGGGGAGGGGCAGAGGGAAAGGGAGAGAATCTCAAGCAGACTCCCTGCTGAGCGCAGAGCCCTACCACCCAGGACTCGATCTCACCACCCTGAGATCTTGCCCTGAGTCAAAATCAAGACTCAGCCGCTTAACTGACTGAGCCACCAGGGCACCTTGATCATGGGATTTTCTTGATCTGTGCTGGACAATACAGAAACCATTAGTCACATGTGTCTATTGAGCTCTTGAAATGTGGCTAGTGTGACTGAGAAATGAAATATATTGAAAAACTCAAGAACTGAGTTTTAAATTTTTAAAAAATTTAATTAAAATTTAAATACCCACGTATGGCTAGTAGTAACTATATGGTCTCACACAGGTCTTACAAAAAAGAGACCCGCCTAGACAGAGGACAGGGTGGCAGAGAGAAGGGGGGTTAGGCTTTGCTATCCAGAGAATAGGCCCTTTTAGACTAGAAGGGACCATGATAAAATAAATGCAGTGCACGGTAAGGGTGTATATTTGATGATGCCACCCTCATACATCCCTCTGCAAGGCTATTTAACTGGATGCTCTGAACAATGAAAGGGTCTAAAGACACTAGGGACTGGTTCTCTGATTGCAAAATGAGAAGTATTTTGGGTTTGGGGGAGCTTTTGCCTACATCTGCCACCCAGGGTCAGGGTCAGGGTCAGAGCCACTTATCTTTAAGAGGGTCAGCAGTTGGGAGCACTGTGTCCAAATTCACACCTTCTAACACAAGTCAAAAATAGCCTTCTTTCCTCCTGCCCTTCTTCCTTCTTCTCCTTCCTCCCTTTCATGGCTTTGTGCTAGCCTTTCAGAAGACAAGGTGGAACAGTTCAGTATCTTTTCCCTGAAAAGCTCAGAGACAAGAGAAGATAATAAAAATGAACACACTGGCCGGGAGCCAGATGTTCTGGGTTCTGGTGTCGTTTTGCCAGACTAGCTTTCTACACCTCAGCTTTCCCATTTGTGAAACGTTAGGGTTGGAGAGGACTTCTGAGGTCCTGCCCTAACTCCCTGGGTGCTTATGTAATGCAATCCAAATCATGATGACAATAAATAGATAAAATCTTTAAGAAAAAAAAGAAACAAAAACCAACAGCAGCCACGTTAACCCAGGCAGGGCTTACAAGTTTTAGGCACCATGCTAAATGCTTCATAGTCACCATTTCACTCAAGCCTCAGGGGTGTTTTACAAACCCTCATTTTGTAGGTGAAGAAACTGAGGTTCTGTCAGTTTAAATAACCAGTCCAGGGTCACACAGGAATAGTCGAATTGGGCTTTGAATCCAGATGGTTGCAATCCCTAAATTTTTAATCTCTTTTTTGTATGTATCGCTTCTCTTCAAGGTAGGTCAATGATGAGTTCAGGCAGGGAGGCATTCTTGGTAGGATTATTAATAACACTGGTTTTTTTTATGCGTACTCTGACGGCTGTACTTAATTCTCCCAGCAACTGTACAGGGTGGTCGACACTAGTGCCCTCATTGCACGGACCGGGAAAGTAAGGCTCAGAGAGGCTCGGGAAATTGCTCAACATCACACAGCTAGCAAACGGCACGGACTCAAATCTCCGGAGTGGGTCTGCAGCCCCGGGCCGCGACCATTCCTCCTGGAGTACAGCGCAGGCAAGCCAGGGCCCACCACCACCACCGGGAAGGCGGAGCGGCGGGTGCCTGCCGGGTCTCGGGCCCTGCCCAGGGGGCACGCCTCCGCCGCGCACGCGCTCTCGGGCTCCGGGTCGGGGCGCGCGGCGGGCGCGAGGACGGCGGCGGGGAGCGTGCGCGCGGTGACGTGCCGGGCGCCATGTTGGAGGGCTGGTGGTAGCGGCTCGGGGAGGTGCTCGCTCTCTCGGTCTCGCTCTCTCGCTCGCTTCCCCCGGCTCCCTTCGGTGCCCCCCCCGGTCGCCTGCGTGCCGGAGTGTGTGCGAGGGAGGGGGAGGGCGTCGGGGGGGTGGGGGGAGGCGTTCCGGTCCCCGGGAGACCCGCGGAGGGAGGCGGAGGCTGTGAGGGACTCCGGGAAGCCATGGACGTCGAGAGGCTGCAGGAGGCGCTGAAAGGTGGGAGTAGCTGCCCCCTCTCCCTTCCTCCTCGCCCTCCGTGGTCCCCTCTCCTCTCTTTCTGGGCAGGGGGCTCCGAGGGGCCGGGCCGGGCTGGAGCGGGGAGGGGGGGCGCTTCCCCGGCTCCCATCCCCCTCCCACCTCCCCAGGGGCGGGGAGCCCTGTGGGCAGCTCCCTCCCGCCCCGCTCTGGGCTTTGTGTCGGCCGCCGGCGTCTGGGCTGGGGGAGGGGAGCCGGGGAAGCTCTGGTAGTGGCCCCAGTCTCTCGCCCACCCCTCCGGGGAGAGGTCGTGGGTCCGCAGCCCCCTCACGGGTAGGCTCCGTTTTCCGTCAGGCCCCCGCACGCCAGGCGTCGGGGTGAGAGAAAAAGTAGAAGGTTTGGGGGGGCGGGGGGGAAGAGGGCGGCAGAGCAACTTTAAAGTGTCTCAGGAAGTCTCTTGCAGAGCGTCTGAAGTCATTCCTCCACGCGCCGTAATTCTCAGGTGGTCGCCTTCCACGCAACAGGCTTGAGAACGGTGGTTCTCAAACTTAGAACAGCGTGGGATTTCAGCGTTTTCACAATTATGCATTGACATCCAAAATCATTTGGAAACGGCTGCGTGAGGTAGCTGCAGTTTCTTAAGACGCACATTCATGAACTTTACCTAGATAAACAATTTATGGGGGGTGGGGCCTGGGATTTGTATTTTAACTGGTGTCCCAGATAAATCTGATGTGGGTGTTCCCCCGGACCACACTTTGAGAAACACTGCATGGATGCTTTGTGGAGAAGTTGAGTGCCGCCCCCTTTAGGAGGATTCTTGTTACAACGTGAAGAAACCGATGTTGGAAGTAGAACTTCGAGTCGGAGGTGGATTTATTTGGTTGAGAGGCAGATTTTTTTTTTTTTTTTTAAACTGCTTCTTAATATTTGAGGAAGGACTGGGAGAAAAGTTTGCTTTTACAGTGCACTGGAAATGGTTGATGGACTTTGAAAATACTGATAATTTTTCTTTCTTCCCTTATTTAGATTTTGAGAAGAGGGGAAAAAAGGAAGTTTGTCCTGTCCTGGATCAGTTTCTTTGTCATGTAGCCAAGACTGGAGAGACCATGTGAGTTGAAAACATGTATTCGTTCTTAGGGTCCATTCAGAATTGCTTAGGAGAGGGAAAAAAGTGTATTTCAGAAGAATTCAATAATCTTTGTACAGCTGTACAAGCTCCGCTTATTTAAAGCATTTACTAAGCGCGTAAGTTTTATTTCCCTTATGCATATCTGTAATGAGTTTTAAAATTTTGTTAAAATTTTCTTTATATTTATGCTTTTGTAGATTTAGAATTTACTAGTCTGAAGAGCTAGAGAAAAGAATGCCTATCCTGTCATGACCCTTTTTGGCCCTAACAAACAGGCTTATTTCCAGAACTTTGTGGCTTTGATTCTGTCTCAGTTTTTTTTTTGTTGGTGGTATTTTCTCATATTGTCCTGTATCCAACCTTTTGTTGTCATATTTATATATGTGGGTGTTTGAAGTGTCACTTCTGTTTATTCTTTTGAGGACTTAGGGTGATTATCTGACAAATTCCAGATGCTACAGTTTTGACTGTCCTGTAAACTTTCTAGGATAGCTAACTTGTTACATATGCTCAGCATTTTATTAGGCTTGTTCCCAAATGTTTTGAATCTGAAACTTACACTATGAAGTTAGGACTGTTTTCATAAGTACCATTCCAGTTCATTGTGTGTGTAGGTTGTGTTGCAGGAGTGTTTTTGCCATCACTAAGTTAATTTGTAGAAAGCAGTACAGATTTGGTGACTTCCTTGTACTCTTTTTTTGTAGGGGGTGGGGAGTAGGAAGAGAAAGGTTTCTTTGGGCGCAGTGTTACTAAATGAGCTTTCTTTTGGCTCCCCTAGGTCTTGTCTATTTTTAAAATTCTTTTTGAGGCCTACTATGAGTGTGAGCTTCAGCAAGTGATGTATACTTTCTTGGGCTTTATTAGCAGATGTTCATTTCTCACCAGATTCGCTTGTGGTTGTAATATATGTAGCCTTCTAATAACTAGCCTAATTTTAGAAAGGAAAAAAGACCCTCTGATTTAGTAGTCATGTAGATAAGCTGAGTCTCCATAGTGCTTTATTAAAATTACCAGTCAGCTTAAGAATATTTCTGTGAAGTGGTCAATCTTACATTTTTATTCCACTTAAAAAGTGGAACCCTTTAGAAAAAAAATTATATTTGCCTCTGAATTACTGTCTCTCTTAGAACATCTTGATTTTAAAAATTGATGCAACGTAACTGGTACTTATGTAGATAAGCTTAAAAATGACTAGTTGCCAGCTTTCAAAAGTAAATTAATCCCTAACTCAGAAATTCTTAGGTTGCCTCTATTTCTTTCAAATTGTTAGTTGGTCCAGACTTATCCCCCTACAATATCAAAAGGAGAAGCTTTTATTTTCAGAGTTTTGATACACAAGATTATATCAAACTATTTGGAGATAAATACTTAAAATCTCTTCTCCTTATCAGGTCTGTACAAACTGTCTTCTCTTTTGATAAACTACATTGGCTGTAAATAGTTGAAAACTTCTGAAAGAAAACTTAATGTCCTGTCAGACTGGATCACCATGTGGCTAGGGAATTTGCACCTGATTTTTGTGGACGATTATTTTGTGTTGGTAGAGGACTTAAACAAGGTCCACCCCCTTACTCACCCCCCCATTTTTGTTTTGTTTTGTTTTTAACATTTACTAATAATATTTTGTATTAAAATGGTGGTGTTAGATACAGAGTTTGGAAAGTATTTTTAAATTTATCATTAAAGCAGCTGGTGTTTACACATTTAGCTTTAATCTTTTTGTTTTTAATCAACATGAGCATGCCTTTTGATTCTGAAATTTGCAAGTTTCTGTCATCTATTTTATGGTTAAACTGAGCTTTGTCTAACTTCTAAGATTTAACAAGAAAATGTAAAGAACAGATCAGATCTCTTTGGTGTTTTAGGATGGATAGGTTGCTAGAGATAAGAATTCCATAGTTTTTATTTTCATTGATACATTATAGCGAGAAATCATTAACAGAAGAGATATGTGGACTTTGTTCATGGATAAAAATCAGTGACAGCCTAAGCTATTTATTTTTCATTAAAAAAGCCCAATTTGACACTTGTGTTTTTAGCTTTAGAGAGATTTTAAAATTATAGTGTAGGTTTTTACTGAGCAGGAGGTTGTAGGAAAATTTAAAGAGTACTAGAGCAGTTTTCTTTTTTTTTTTTTTTTTTTAAGATTTTATTTATTTATTTGACAGAGAGAGAGAGGGAACACAAGCAGGGGGAGTGGGAGAGGGAGAAGCAGGCTTCCCGCGGAGCAGGGAGCCCGATGTGGGACTCATCCCAGGACCCTGGGACCATGACCTGAGCCGAAGGCAGACGCTTAACAACTGAGCCACCCAGGCGCCCGAGCAGTTTTCCTTTTTGGTCTTTGAAAAAATTACCTTTAGGGGCGCCTGGGTGGCTCAGTTGGTTAAGCGACTGCCTTCGGCTCAGGTCATGATCCTGGAGTCCCGGGATCGAGTCCCGCATCGGGCTCCCTGCTCGGCGGGGTGTCTGCTTCTCCCTCTGACCCTCCTCCCTCTCACCCTCCTCCCTCTCATGCTCTCTGTCTCTCATTCTCTCTGTCTCAAATAAATAAATAAATAAAATCTTTAAAAAAAAAAAAAAGAAAGAAAAAAGTACCTTTACACATCTAATGTAGGAAGTTGGGAAAGATGCCAAAACATGGCATACTAAACTGTAATGAAGACAGAGATTATCTATCTAAAACAATCCCCAAATTTGTTGGTTTTGGCTACTTCAAAAAATTAATTTTATGTTGAAAAGGTTACTTTGTCCTGAAAATGGGACATTTCCTTAAAGGACACTTTACCGAAGGTAACAGTTTGTAACTTAATGCCAAGTATATATTATGTGCTGAATAAACAGAAGGTGGATTTAAACATTTGATAAGTTTTAGTTGCAATTACTCTTTTTGATGGTCATATTGTCCGGTGTTTGGCCTGTGGGAGCCTCTTTCATTTGATTCCAGAGTCCTTTTGACTTGACTCTTGGTAGGCTTTAATAGCATCCATAGTCTCTGGTATTAGTATATGGTCTAAGCTCATTCCTGCCCAGACCTAGAATCAGACATTTCTGAAGCCATGTCTTTTAGTGGGAAGTGGTGTTTAAAGACTACAACCTGGAGACTAGAGATGCTTATTATAACTGAGTTGGTCATGGTTTCTAGCCTCTTCAGTGGACAGAACTAATAAAATACTAAGTGATTCATACTGATGCTTCCAATTCAAAATCAGGACCACAGTGTTTTACCTCTTCTACCCCAACAATTCTGGTTCTCAAGGACAAGGGAAAAGTCTAATAATAATAATATCAACATCACCAGTGTAATTACTAAGAACATCAGAATTGTTCATACACTCTCCCAATTTGTAACCCCCATTTCAGAAAAGTAGTTGTGTCTACATCATCTGAGCATATAGCTATTATATAAGTTTCTTTGAACCATCATTCATTCTTTTGTAGTAGCTCTGTATCAAATGCTCACCACCAGTCCTTAGGTCAATATCTCTAGTCAGTTTGGTTGTCCATTTTCTAGTAGAAGCTCTGAGCTTTGGCAGAGCTCATGGGAACATTTCCTGAGTTTTAATTATTATTATGTATATATATATTTATATATTTTTAACAGTGTTCTTTATTCTTGGAGGTCATTTTGGAAATAAAATATTTGGTTCTCAATTTTTGTCCTTGAGTAGCTTAAATATGTTAATTCCATTGTTTCCCCCCAACTCAGAGTTCCTGTCAAAAATCAGATGATAATCTAATTTTCTTTATTTAAAAGCTGTGTACTCTTTTTGCCTAGATTCCCAAGGAATTTTTTTCAGTTAAGTGCAGTAATTTTTCTGAACTTTGTTTTAGTGTTGGGCATTTTGGGTCAGTATACTCAGGTACGTGGTGTGCTCTTTTAACATGTATTTTCAAATTTTTCATATCTTTTTTTTAATTCCAGGAAATAAAATTATTTGCTTTGGTTTTCTTTTTCAGGGACTCCTTGTATTGCTATGTCAGTCATCTTTGCATGTCTTCAGTATTTGTTATTTTGTCCTGAATTCTTTTTCCTTATTCCTGTTTTGTTAAAAAACGTCTTTGTTGAGGTACAGTAAACTTCATTTATTGAAAATATATAGTTTGCTAAATTTTGACATCTGTACTCAAACTTTGAGCACACTCAAGATTGTGAACATATCCATTCGTTATTCCCAGAAGTTTCCTCATGCACTTTTGTAATTTTCCTTCCCTGGGTGTGCTCCTCTCCCCTCAGGCAACTAAAGATCTACTTTTCGTCACTTTAATTTGCTTGTTCTAGAATTTTATATAAATGGAATCATAGAGTTTGTATTCTTTGGCTTCTTTTATTCAACATAATTGAGGTCCATATTCGGATTTCAGCAGTTCATTCCTTTTTATTTCTGAGTAGTAGTCATTGTATGGATATCCTACAGGTTTTTTATACATTCACTTGTTGATGGACACTTCAGTTATTTTCATTTTTTTCTGTTATCAAAAAGTGGCTATGAACATTTGTGTACAAATCTTTGTATGGACATATGCATTCTTTTTTCTTGGATAAAAACCTAGGAGTGGAATGGCTGGATCATATGGTAGGTGTATGTTTAACTTGAGAAACTGCCAAACTGTTTTCTAGAGTCATTGCACCAGTTTGCATTCCCACCAGTATTAATGGGAGTTGAGTTAAGGTTCTCCACGTCCTTTTCAACATTTAGTATGGTCCTTTTTTGCTGTAGTCATTCTCTTAGGCACATATTGCAAAGTGGTTTTAATTTGTATTTCCCTAATGACTAATCATGTTGAGTATGTTTTCATGTGTTTATTTGCTATTCCTGTATCTTCTTTGGTAAACTGGTTCTTCAAGTCTTTGTCCATTTAAAAATTGAGTTGTTTTCTTACTGTTTTTTTTTTTTTTTAGATTTTTATTATTATTATTATTTTAATTTGACAGAGACACAGCGAGAGAGGGAACAAAAACAGGAGTGGGAGAGGGAGAA